CTGTCACCCCCGGGAGCTGTGGATCGGTTACGAAATATATTGAAATCTTTGATCAGAATTTGTTTGATGAGTTCCGGGTCGGCCACTGTTAGCCTAGGCTTCGCTAATATGTATAATCTGTAAACACAATCAAAGGGTGTTATAAAAAATATATTAAATTTTGTTTTTATTTTGACGGCATAATTACCCATAAATTTTGCCGTATTTCTTATACCACTGCAACTCCAGTAATGGTCGAGGATTTAGGCATAAACTTAAAAAGTTTCCGAATATAGGGATAGGTTTTGGACCACAAATGTGTCGATCCTTCCAATAGCTGAAGGTATTCCTCCACGAACTCAATGAATGAATGAATAATTTCAAGAAATATTATTTTTAAAATTAATTTTAATTAAAAATTAATTAAATCTAATATAAAGTATATCTTACATGTAGTAATAGGCTATCACCGCCACAATGAGTCCAATGAGACACAACCAGTATGTCTGGAAAATCGGTGCCAACACTGACTCTAACAGTAAAGTCATAATTCACGGGATGTTTAATAAATCTACTATTATTTTACACTTAAATTTAAAACTTATAAATATTGAATAGTTTGAACCATGTCTTTTTATACACAATTTTTACAAGTCACACATAATGAGACATAATGAGACACATTAAATGTTTTTTCAAAAAGGTGTCAGCAAAATATTAACAAGATCCTGTCTAGCATTCAGTAGAGCATTTGCAAGTAATTCACCAATGTAATTGTATTAGTAGCGCCTAATGTTAAGAAATTAATTTTCAATGCAAACTCTTACCGATACTTTAAAATATAATATATTTTAAGTTATTTTAGGTTATATTATAAGTTATTTAAAACAATTTTTGTACATAATTTGGCGGTTAGATTAAAATGAGTGAACAAGTAATCTGGCACATTTTTATACCCTACTCATGAATTTATGAATATTTATATGTACTTATTATATAACCTTTATATTAGACACTACTTTTACACTAAACCTTATGACTAGTTTTTACTTGATCATCATTGTCTAGACTCTAGCATTTGTGACTTCTAGTTACTAAGCGTTATGCAATTATTACAATAGATTTTCAGATACAGTAATTTCTTTAAACTGTACCATTTTAGTAACAATGTACTCAAATGTAACAAGTACAGTATAACATTTGCATGTAATTCACAAATGTAATTGTATTAATATTATTTAAAATAAAATAAATATTCTTATGAAATGAACGTTTTCAATATAACTCTTATTGCAAAATACTTGTACATATTATATATAAGTTAATAAAAACAATTTTTGGACATACACTCATGAGCAATGAAAACTGGTGTCGGTTTTTGGCTTATATCAGAGCCCGGAATGAGTGGAAGAGAGACACTGTTTTCAGATGACTTGGGTTTAGTACAACACATCTAACTTAATCTCTCTCTTATCAGTGATTAGCGCATCATATTCAAACTTTACACTATCAGGGATTAGCACAATTTAAAAAGCTGTTAGCATAAGTTTAAAAGATGTTAATATTTAGTTGTAAACAAAAATGCTTGCAAGAAGCGACAGATAAGCCTATATTAGTGAGGTATCATCCGATATATTGAACCAGATATATTTAAGTTATACTATACTCATAGTTAGCATCTCTGCGTAATACCATAGGAATACAACTGTCACCCAATGCTCGCATCAATGCTTTGTATTCATAGCCCTCTAAGAAATCTTTTGGCATTAAAAACAGACATGCATGCGGTAAAACTAGAATTATGACCAGGGTATGAATTTTATGAACATTTTATGAATCGCACATAAAAATATAATAAATTTCCAACATTTTAGTGTAGTTTTTATTTGAAAATATAATTGTAAATATTTAATTTTAATTTCAAATCCTGCTAATACGCTTCGGACACCCTTATTAAAAATAATCAACAATTTGACAGTATATGTTATTTTGTGCAATCTCATTTTATTTGTTTTAAACAGTAATTAATTATTGTAATTACAGTAATTAATTAATAATTAAGGTATGGTTTAAATAAGTTATTTTATTGATCAGTGAAAGGTATCAAAAATGACAGATCAGCCAGTGTTACAAGAAATGAATAAAACATTTAAATGTGTTTTCATTCATTCATTAAATGTATTATTAGTGACGAAATTGTAAGCTTTCGGTATCTTTTTTGTGGCGTCAAATTGACACCAAATAACCGGGAAAAGCCGATAATTGTTAGATATATCTTATCAGGGACATCAGTATACTTTAAAACATAAATTTTATTTAAGTCCCATAAGTGTACTAAGCGGTGATTTGCAAAAGTATAATAAAGTAAAGCATATTGTGATTAAGTTAACAAAGAAATGACTGTACCTCAAAATCTATTGTAATCATTGCAATCATAAATGTAATAAGTCACAAATGCTAGAGTCTAGACAATAATGATCAAGTACAAATTAGTCAAAAGGTTTAGTGTGAAAGTAGTGCATAATACAGTATTATTAATACTGTATCAAGGTTATACAGTACATATAAATATACATAAATTCATGAGTAGGGTATCAAAAAGTGCAAATTAAAACTCCCAATTTATTTGTTCACTCATTTTAATCTAATTGTCAAAATATGTGCAAAAATTGTTTTAAATAACTTATAATATAACTTAAAATAACTTAACTTAAATATATTATATTTTGAAATACCTGTAAGAGTTTGCATTGAAAATTAATTTCTTAACATTACATGATTCTACTGTAGGGTTGCCAAACCTCCTACATTCTGGAGGATTCTCCTTAAAACGGCCTGAAAGGGAACTGTAACTGTAAGGGAAAGGGCAATGTAATGTCCTACACATAAATTACTTGAATAATTTAAAACTTTCTTTGTAATCTTAGATATGCTTACTTTTAACAGATATTTTTAGAAATAATTCAATTATAATTTTACATTAATTATAAATGTATTTAATGGAAGCATATATTTCAATAGATAACGTTATTTTGTAAGCCTCTATAATAAGGGTCTACCCTATAATCGCGAATTTAAAAATCGCGAAACCCATAATCGGGAAATTAAAATTGCTAGGACAAAATCGCGAAAGACATAATTGCGAAATTAGTAACAAAACCTAGCTTAGCCTAGCCTAGCCTAACCTAACCTAACCTAACTTAACTATTAACATAAGTATATTATAAACTAATATTAATTAAAATAAATTTAAATTTCGCGATTTTTAAATTCGCGATTTTGGGTGCAACCGCTATAATAAACACTTTTAATTACTTATTGCTAACTACCAAATAGACAAAATTCTACTGGTAAGGGTTTTAATTATTTAAATAATTTTATAAATCATAAAATTTAATATTTTAAAATTATTTAAAGATAGCATTAGCTATCTCGATTTTTACAATTGTTCGGATTTAATTTGAATTTTAATTAAAATCTTCATGTAACTTAATTCTGTTTATAATATGATATTGTTGGCAACACTACATGATACTGTACTACAAGAATACAATTACGTTGGTGAATTACTTGCAAATGTTCTACTTTTGCGTAAACAGGATCTATTTTTAATTTTAGTTTTCAATATTTATTTATAGTATCAAAAACAGGATCTTGTTCATATTTTGTTGACCACTTTTTTGAAAAACATTTAATGTGACTTGTAAAAATTGTCTATAAAAGTACATAGAGCAAAGTATTCAGTATTTATAAGTTTTAAATTTAAGTTTAAAATAATAGTAGATTTATTAAACATCCCGTAAATTATGAGTTTACTGTTGGGGTCAGTGTTGGCACCGATTTATGAGACATACGAGTGGTGTCTCATAGGACTTATTGTGGCGGTGATCGCGTACTACTACTTGTAAGACATTTATTAGATTTTATTAATAAATTACAATTAATTTAAAACTTTCGTGAAATAAATTCATTCATTCATTGAGTTGGTGGAGGAATGCCTTAAGCTATTGGAAGGATCGACACATTCCTGGTCCAAAACCCATACCTATAGTCGGAAACTACTTGAATAATGCCTTAAAAGTGCGACCATTTGTGGAGATGGAGTGGTATAAGACATACGGCAAAGTTTATGGGTAATTATAACGCCAAAATGAATAAAAAATTTTGAACCTTTTGAATGTATGTACAGATTATACATATTATCGAAGCCTAGGCTAACAGTTGCCGACCCGGAGCTCATCAAACAGATTCTGGTCAAAGATTTTGACGCATTTCGTAACCGACAGTCACGCCCCGGAGTAATGGACTGGTCCTCAAGAATATGTCCAGAGCTAGGGATGACGACTGAAAACGGGTCCGGACTATAGCCAGCCCGCCTTCAGGTTTAGTAAAGTGAGGAAAATGTATGGTCTTATCA